GAGGGGGATTCGTTCGAGGCAATACGTTCGAAAGTTTCGTCTGGTAGGGATTAAGAGGGAGGGGAGGGGTTTGCAGTTGTTTCTTCGCGGGGAGGGAAAGGAAAAGGGGAGTAATGCTCGTGTCACACGAAGCAAGTTCTCGTGGAGATTTTTATCGGCCTTCTCCCTCCCTCCCTCCCTCCCTCCCCCCTGCAAATCGATATTGCGTCGTTCGAGATAAAAAAAGGGAGGGGGGAGGGGGGGAATCGTGAAAATACAGTTCGAGAATTTAAGGTTAAAGTATCCTGTTCAACTTTTTACAACGAAATATCGTATCCTTTGTAATTTATTTTTATTTTTTTTTTTTTTTTTATTATAAGATAGAACATTAGTGCTTATTTGTCGCAGAGTTCAATCTCAATCAAGCTAGTAGTTTTGTACAATTGTGTCGATGTCGAGGCAGAGGAAATGGAGAATAATGAGTTTATAGATAAGCGAACACGAAATTACGAACGCTTAGGGATAATTTTATCTATTTATTCGAAGATAATATTCAATTTATTTATTATTATTATATATCTATATATTATATATTAATATTATATATTATTATCTATATTATTCGAAGATAATATTCAAAATGATATATTCCACGCACAGATCCAAATCTCCTTTCGAATAATGCGAGTAGTATTAATTCGGTCAATTGTCCCATCTCGAGCTCGTCGAACCAGCTCCTCGTTAAGACACCGCCAACACCGTTTTTTAACGAGAAGCGAAATTCGAAAACAACGGAGTTTCTCTCGGAGAATGAAAAAGAAAAGAAACCGTAAAACCGGGAAGAGAAAGCGTTCTAATTCCAACGAGCGATATCGAATCGAGAGAAGCTTGAATAAGAGAGACCTCTGTTTCTCTGTTCCAGAAAATCCTGCTACCGTTGCGTCGTCATTCACGAGAAGCACTCGAACGTCCTCCAGTACAAAGAAAGTAAGTACGAGTCCCGAAAGAACGTTGGAAGATACCTGTCTCTGTCTCTCCCACTCACTCCTTCCTTCCTTGTCTTTAACTCCTCCTCCGGCCGTCCAGATGTCGTTGTCCTCGCCCCACGAATAATCCCTACCTCCTAATAGCCGTTGTTTCGCGCTGATCGATAACGATTTCCCGGGGAAATCCATTCATTAATTAGAATGCCGATCGGTAATTAAAAAGCTCGGAAGATGACGGGGGAAGGTCGAGGAATAATTCTCGAGGAAGAAGTTAACGACTTTCGTCTCGTTTATGAAAACGAGAGGGAGGGAGACGAAACAATCTATGGTTCTGCTAATTCGAAAGAGAGGGGGGCGCCCTCGTTTACGACGAACAGGAAAAGAAATCGAGTGCTCTTTGAATTCCATCAACCTCTCATTCGTTAATACGAATGGAAATACGAAACGAATTTTCTGGGACTGGTGATAATAGGGGAGGGTCTCGTTTCTAGATATTTATCCATTATCGTTTTTGATTGTATAGGCAAACTCCTTGAGAAACACACAGGGATTTTTAAAACTGGATTTTTTAGGTTATGTCATCGTTTTTAGGTTATGTTATCGTGCTTCGAATGCTTAGCACGAAAGTATTTGAAATAATTGTTCAAAGAAATTGTATCGATGTACTTGATATAATTAATTAGAAGAATTAAACACTACGAATAATTACTGGGAACAAAACGAAGAGTAAAGTTTTTTTCATGCAAGGTGTATAGATTTATTGGACGAAGAATCATCGATATAAATGGCCGCTACTAGCGCGATACTAGCGCCACTTAGCCACTTAACTATACACTTCTTTCTGCTCTTTTCTTTTTCAAATAATTCAAATAATTCGTTCCAACAAATCCAAAAAAAAAGGATATTTTGTCAAATTTTTAACGCGAAATTAACTCGATTGTAACACGGCATTAGAACGATTTATGTTTGTCCCATTTTAAAAGTTCAAGTGACAAACCCACTTGAATTTTCCAGAAACCTGCGGACTCTGTTGCGCGAAAATTCTCTCGAGGGAGGAGAGAGATACCCAATAAACTTGCCGCTTGTTTACGCATTCAAAGAAAAGGAAAAAAAAAAAAAAGCACGCTCAAAATTTTGACGAGAAGGATTCTCACAAAAGTCGTTGAATCCCGAGCCGAGTCGAGGAGGGGGAGAAAGGGGGTCTGCTTTGAAGCGGTGTGCTCGCTCGAAGGGCGCTTTTACCCCGGTCTAGGATCGCGCAACGAAGTTTCCTGATAATTCTATTCGCCCCAACGTGGCTCATAGACGATACCAGCTTCTTTTTTCTTTTTTTTTTTTTTTTCAAACCCGCTAACGACACTTTGATCCTCCGACTGTGGTCGTAAGCGATGCGCTTCGCGGACAGGGGAACGAGGCGAGTGGAGGGGGTGGACAGACTGGGATAGTAAATATGGATCTGTTAAAAAAATGGGTTAGGCGAAAAGCACTGGTTTGCTCAAACGATACGATCTCGTTTATCTGACGAGTGAAATTTTGTATAATAGTTCGTGATTTTTTTTTTTTTTTTTTAAGAATTCCAATGGGATATATTGAAATTTTTTAAGATTTGGATTGAACTTTGAACTTTGTTTTGAACATTTAATAATTATGACAATTTAAAGGGGAAGAAAAAATAAATATCTATTATTCAAATTTTTAGCTATTTTATTTTCTTATATTCCTGTATAAATTATTTTGTCAAAGATTTTTAAGGATTCCAATAGTATACATTGAAATTTTTTAAGATTGAACTTTGTTTTGAACATTTAATAATTAATTAAGGGATGTTGATTTATTAAATTATGAGTGATTAAAGGGATGAAATATGATATTTTTGTATGTGAATTAATAATAGTATATATTATGACAATTTAAAGGGGAAGAAAAAATACGTATCTATTACTCACAATTTTGAGCTATTTTATTTTCCCACCCTATATAAATTATTTTGTCAAAGATGTTTTCAAGTTGAAAACGAAATTTCTTACAAGTTTAATTGATCATTTATAAAGTTATTTTAACGTATCTATTATCAAATTTTGAGCTATTTTATTTTCCCACCCTGTATAAATTATTTTGTTAAAGATGTTTTCAAGTTGAAAACGAAATCTCTTACAAGTTTAATTGATCATTTATAAAGTTATTTTAACGTATCTATTATCAAATTTTGAACTATTTTATTTTCCTACCCTGTATAAATTTTTTCAAAGATGTTTTCAAGTTGAAAACGAAATCTCTATAAGTTTAATTGATCATTTATAAAGTTACGAATTTTAACTCTTCTCAAAATTCTTTTTCAAATTTCTCTGTCAAGACTGACCGATTTGAGGATTTCAATACACCTTTTTTCACTCCTTTGAAAACCAGTTGAAAATAAGTACGCCGTTGTTCATTGTTCGACCACAAAACACTTGGCTATGATTATTTGGGGGGCAAACGAATTTGAAACGACCTATATAAAGAACGAACAGAGCCCAAGAGAAAGGAACAGCGTTGGCAGGTGGAGTTTGGCATTCGAGCCAAAAGAGGAAAAGAAAAGAGATGGATAGAGAATATAAAGTGTGACACGTTACAAACAAAGCGCAAAATTTAGCGAAATCCGGATCAAAATGTCGGAGAATCAAGTCGAATCTCCTATTTAATTCTCCGATTCTAAACTTTTGATCTTTATTTCATTTCCACTTCCATTATCTGCGCCTCTAAAAAATTAAAAACCTAGGAATCCATATTTTAATGCATTAATTTCATATCTCCAGTCAATTCTCATTAACGTTATTTTCGTGTCGTTCCATCTTTGTCTTTTTTCATCAGATGAAACTGTCTCACTTCGTCTCACTTCTACAATTACTACAAAAAGTAGACAAAACACTTTAAAATCCTTGCCTTTAAATATCCCAATCCCTTTTCGTTCGAACACCCTGTACATGACAAAAAAGAAAAAAAGGAACAAGCTCTCGCGTCCGCATTTTTCGACGATTTGTCAAAGTCCCTCGGGCCCTTCTCCCCATCTCCTTCTCACCTCCTTTTTCCTCCTTTTTTATCGGATTTTAATCTGCATAGCGTCACATCGGTTGGCTGCAGGCTGCATTCGGACCAGAGGCAAATATGGCGGGATAAATGTGGGTCACTTCGTGTACAAAAAGAAAAAGGGGGATGGAGAGCGGGACGACGTTAGACAATGACGCAAGGTGAATCGAGGAGAGGCTCGTCACGTCAACTAAACGAATTCAAACTCCTCCCTCCCTTGATCACTCCCTTGATACATTAGGGGATTGTTTGGAAATGAGACGTGATTCCGTAGGAAGAGAAAAAAATCTCGTCGTCGATAGCCCCCGCTTATTTGTCCAAAGAATTATCCGTCGTTTTGTTGGCTGGAAAATGTCTGATTACGGGATCTCTTGGGGAGAAAGTAGGACGAATTATGGGGAGGGGACGGGATCTTTGCAGCCTGAAGGAGTTCGCGTGCGGACTTTTTGAAAAGTCGAGCGATTGTTGCGCCTCCTCTTTCCCTGACCTGACTTCTCGATTGTCGAGAGAGCAGCGTTTTCAAACCTTTGTTCCTGCGACCAGTGTCTCGAATAAAATAGGATACTTGTGCCTCGTACATAAATCGAAGCTAACGAATTTTTAAATAAATTTCAACTCGTTTGTCTGCTTCGTGTTTGTTTTAATTTTACAAAATTATTTAGACGTTTAATTTCCTTTATATTGGTTGGGAAAATGTTAATTTAAAGAATAGATTAGATAGAGTTTTATTCGATATTAAATTCTGACGATGTTAGAAAGCCTTTAACCGAAACATAACCTCACTTTATGATAAGCAAACAGATAAAAGATTACCATGGTTCGTGTTTGTTCTAATTTTACAAAATTATTTAGACGTTTAATTTCCTTTATATTGGTTGGGAAAATGTTAATTTAAAGAATAGATTTGATAGTTTTATTCGATATTAAATCCTGATAGAAAGCTTTTAACCGAAACATAACCTCACTTTATGATAAGCAAACAGATAAAAGATTACCATCGTTTTAATTTTACAAAATTACTTAGACAATTACTAGACAATTACTAGACAAAATTACTTAGGAAATTAAATTACTTAGTTTAATTTCCTTTATGTTGGGAAAATGTTAATTTAAAGAATTTGATAGTTTTATTGGATATTAAATTCTGACGATCTTAAAAAGCCTTTAACCGAAACATAACCTCACTTTACGATAAGCAAATAGATCATGGTCTAATTGAAACACTTACGAGCTTCCATCAGACCATAACCTCACTTTTTGATGAGCGATCAATGTATGCAACATGATATTTAATACTCGTAAGCGATAATCTGTAAAAAAAAAGGAAAAAATTCATCGCATAACCTAACCTTAAAAATTAAAAACCATTGTTCCAGAGGCTAATGATAAACATTCCGTCAAAGGAACGCGACATCGTTTCGATAATGCGAAAAATAAGAGGAATAATGATAAAAAAGAGGAACAAGTATTATGCAAAGAGCGTCGCTCGATTTGCCTCGAGCACGCCTGCCGCGTTCTCCAGTTGTTCGTTAAAAAAGTTAAAACCGCCCTCCCCCAGTTTCTCCGTGTTTCACCCTTCGCTCATTAACTAAACATACGCGAAATAAAAGCGTAATTTGCGATTCGTGCGCGCGCGCGAGTCGACTGGAAAGACTTTAACAAGCACTCGTTGCGTTGGTTGGCGGGCCTGTTTCGTCGAGAAAGTTTAAGAGGCGGAATTACTGTCAGCCGCGGAAAGCGCGCGCTTTAAATTTAATTGGCCGCGAGCTCGGTGGATAAGGAAGAATTCGCGCCAAATTTTAATTTGTTCATTGGAATAAACACGGGATTGCACTTTTTGCCTTCCAAGACTAAAATTCATTCAACTGTTAGAAAAGAGGAAGATGATTGGAAGAAGAAGAATTAATAAAAATAATAGAATTATTTTGTAAGATCGTAGTTGAGGAAATGAATAAATATTATATTATAAATTTATAAAATTATAGATAGAAAAAGAATAAATATTTATATATTTGTATTATAATATAAAATTAATAAAATTAAATCACGTACAATAATTAAATTAATGTTTTTATAATAATTATCTATCTATCTATCTATAATACATTGGTTAATTGCAATATTAAAATTAACATTCGTTATAATATTCTTACAGCAGTATTACTAGAAATAATATAAGTCATTCGAAAATAATTTATTTTTTAAATAACATCCTATTTGTGAACATTTTTATTTTCAGTAAATTTATTTTTTCAATTTAATTGGAGTAAATATTTTTTTTTATTTCAAATAAAAAGTACTCGATTCTGAATGATATTTTATATTCGCAAAATAATTTAATTATAACAGTTAAACATAACATATCTGTTTTCTTGTGAAAAATAAATCAACGTAAAATGTTGACTGTTTAAATAAAACGTGAATGAAGAGTAAATGATGAAATTATTAACATACATAAAAAAATCTCCTTAATAAATCACATAATTTATTAACATATTTATACATAATTTAAATTATTTTAATTTTGAATACATTATAGTAATCTCAAAATACGTGGCCAAATCGATAAGAACTATTGCAATGAAACATCTTGCCATCTACTTGTTATATAAACAAATACTTTAATCAATTTAATGGATATAACTTAATTTCTTTTACATCTAATTTTTCTTTACATAAGATATCAATTTTATCTTTTGTAATAACAAAAAAAATTATACTTTAAAAATTCTATCCAACTTTATGAGAAAAACCAGCGTCTAGATATTAATTTCCATACCTTTTTTAAACCTTTGTCATCGAGGATTTTTCAAGTGTTGACAACCTTCAGAGGGTTGGACAGGAAAGAGTTAGGGAGGGACACGATGGTCGAATTCATTTTAATTTCGTTAACATGGCCCTCTTTCGCGATACCTTCGTTTACCTTTGAGATTCGTGACAAAGGAAAATAAAGCGTAACTAATTAATCAGTGGGACATACCTTCGAATTAATTATGTTGAAACTATGTGGTCGGGGGCAATTTCGTGAGGGCGTGGTGGAAGAAGGAAAGTCGATTCTAATAACGAATAAATGACGATGAAAATTTGAGGCGGACACCGGAGCAAAAAAAGGATGACACGAAGTTCACGCGAGAATAAATAAATAAATGAGTCGACAGGAAGAATAACAGGGAAGTTGGAAATAGGAGGAAGACACGACATTGCACTTTTTCCATTTCCAACCTTTGAAAATTACATCTGCCTACGTTCTTCTTCCCGACTTTTCCTTCTTTCTCCATTTTCCTCTGGTTTTTTTTGTTTCTATGACAGTTGTCAACGTCGTAAGGTTACGTGTATTTGTCTAAATACTTATGAACGTGTAATAAATAATATGTAATAAAAAAAAACTAATATAGAGTATATAAAAAAATATAGAATAGAATATATATTTTAGTGGTGTAGTACATAGAAATATAAAGAATAGAGTATACATTTCATTCGACTAATTTTTTCCTGATAATAAAGTATATTGAACATAGTATAGAGAGTACACAAAAGTATACAGAATAGAGTATATAAAATATATTATGGATAATTATTTGAATAATTTCTTCTTAATGAAGATTACGGAATATAATATACAGAATACTCAGAAATATATAAAAAAAATATAGAATAGAGTATAAAGAATAAAATATGATATAGTACATAGAAATATAAAGAATAGAGTATATTATTCGTTCATTCGAATAATTTCTTCCTGATAGTGAAATGTATTGAACATAGTATAGAGACTACATAAAAGTATACAGAATTATAGTATATAAAATATATTATATATAATTATTTGAATAATTTCTTTCTAATGAAGATTATGGAATATAATACCCAGAAGTATTATAAAAAAATATAGAATAAAGTATAAAAAATAGAATAGTATATAATTATAGTATAGTACATAGAAATATAAAGAACAGAGTATATATTCGTTAATTCGAGTAATTTCTTTCTGATAGTGAAGTGTATAGAACATAGTATAGAGACTACACAAAAGTATACAGAATAGAGTATATAAAATATATTATGGATAATTATTTGAATAATTTCTTCCTAATGAAGATTACGGAATATAATATACAGAATACTCAGAAATATATAAAAAAATATAGAATAGAGTATAAAGAATAAAATATGGTATAGTACATAGAAATATAAAGAATAGAGTATATTATTCGTTCATTCGAATAATTTCTTCCTGATAGTGAAATGTATTGAACATAGTATAGAGACTACATAAAAGTATACAGAATTATAGTATATAAAATATATTATATATAATTATTTGAATAATTTCTTTCTAATGAAGATTATGGAATATAATACCCAGAAATATATAAAAAAATATAGAATAGAGTATAAAGAATAGAATATGGTATAATATACAGAAATATAAAGAATAGAGTATATATTCGTTCATTGGAATATTTCATTCGAATATATTCATTCGAATAATTTCTTCCTGATAGTAAAATATATTGAACATAGTATAGAGAGTACACAAAACTATACAGAATAGAGTATATAAAATATATTATGGATAATTATTTGAATAATTTCTTTCGAACAAAGTATATGGAATATATTATACATAATATAGAAAAATATAGAAACATTCAGAATAATATATATATAATATATATTCCGGAACAGAATTGTGGACAAATATTCGTGTATATTCAAATATAGTATATAGAGTGCAAAGAATAGAGAATGGAATAGAAATATTCAAATAATTTCTTTCGAACAAAGTGTACAGAATATACTATACTATACATAATGTAAGAAAATATAGAAACATGCAGTATATATAATATACATATAATATATATTCTGGAACAGAATTGTGGACAAATATTCGTGTATATTCGAATATAGTATATAGAATGCAAAGAAGTATAGAGAATAGAATTATAGAAATGTTTGAATAATTTCTTTAGACCGAAGTGTATAGAATATATTATATAATATATAATATAGAAAAATATAGAAACATGCAAAATAGTATATATATAATATATATTCTGAAACAGAATTGTGGACAAATATTCGTGATAATTATTTCTTCGTGATAATGAGAGAGCGTGTCGATGGGTCGTAATTTCACGTTCTCGAAATATTTTTCATCAATTTCGGCAATTTCCAATGATCGTAAATCGAAGGTGAAAAACCGGAAATGTTCGAAACGACAAAAATTCAGTATTCGAATCACGATTGATGGAGAGTTACGATATATTACGTGTCCGCGTAAACGTTCGCGGGGAGAAATCGATAGTTCTTTTGAAAATACAATCCTACGCCGTCATAAACTGCTATAAAAACGATGCGGGATCGGCCTCGAAGATAAACGACACCGGACCGAGGAGGAAAGACAATGAAACGGTCATTGGCAGCGATTTAATGGTTTCCAACCCCCGTTGACATTTTTCTTTTCTTTCCCTCCCCCTCCCCCTTTTTTTCCCTGGGATATTGTCGCGCGAACAATCTCCACGTGTATTAGAAATAAAAAAGAAAAGGAGAAAGAGTTCTGTCATTGTCGCTGTGTACCGATTGAAACGATTCACGATCGAAATCGAGTTCATCGTCGTTACTTGAAAACACTCTCTCGAAAATTATGAAAATATAAATTGAGAATAACACTTTCGAGTTTTATTTGCTATAAAGTAAGTGGGAAAGAATCGTGCCGTTGAAAAATTAAAAATAATTTAATTTTAATGTAACGTGGAAACGTAAATTATAACGATTAAAAATAATATTGTTTTAATTTACGTCGTTTTAGAAAGAACCAGAAACGTCAAACGTGCAATTATTTCATCACCTCGATAATACACTCTCTTTTAGTAGATATAAAATCTTTGTACGTGAAAAAGCAGATTTGTTATCTCTGATTAAAACAAGAAGAGAGAGAGAGAGAGAGAGAAAAAGAGAGAAAAAAAGAAGCTTGGATGGTCGGTCCTATTTTTCTCCGAGCCATGGCAACATCTGCGCGTGGAAAAGTTGCGCCGGTGTCCCAATGCTAGCGTCACTTTTCCAACCGGAAAGAAAGAAATCGTCGAGAATATCCTCGGTTAAAGTTACTCCCGGCCATGAACTTCCTACTCAAAAAGATTCGTCATCGTCTGCAATATCCCCCTCCACGAGGCCCGACTTCCTGTCACTCTCGGCCTGTACACGAGAAAAACTTATAGCTGTTCGACGAAACTTAATGCATCCTCGTGTCATGTACTATAGATCCCGCTCTAGACTTGTTGTCCAACTACACGTATACACGATAGTTTGTGTACATACAAATATCAGTAGCGAAAAAAAAGAAAAAAAAGAAGTAAAGAATAATTTATATACTGAAGAATATATACCGACTTTTAAACTTAGCGATACTAGCGCCACTTGACTGTTAACTATTGCCTAATATACAACGCTTAAGTAAGCTTGTTCATCTATCTATTTCTTTAATTATTCCTTTCACTTGTCCACATAGCGAACTTAGCGATACTAGCGCCACTTGACTGTTAACTATTGCCTAACATACAACGCTTAAGTAACGCTTTGTTCATCTATCTTTTTCTTTAATTATTTCACTTGTCCACTTTTTAAATTTATGCTCGAAAGTGGAAAATGAAAAAATAAAGTGGACTTTAAAGGAATAATAATAATTTTAATTATCAAGGTTTAATTAATCTTAAGTTTTCATCGATCGTTTCAGCATACTGCCACAGCAGAAACTCCCTGTCATCGCTGTGCTCGTACATCACAGGAGATGCCTTGCTCTATTCGATGTTCCGGGAGGAGGCGATACCCGTGCCCTGCCCTTTCCGTGGACCCATGACGTTCTCGTACAACCGTGGTCACGGGACCTGCTCTGTGCCAGTCAGCAATGTCGACACCTGCACCGATGATAGCAGGCTGCTGTTCAGATACCAGGCGTGCCCCGATATATCGGCTTCCGAGAGCGCAGGTAAGCTCTCTGTTATTATAGAATATTGCATTTTAGTATACTCTGGTAGATTTAATAGATTTAATAGATTCTCGATACTGTTCGAACACGACAAAATTAACCATCCAACGAACTTTTCGATTATAACTAACACGATATATGTATAGCTTACGTAGCGTACGAATAGAGTATATTGTATATACTAGCTTATAGCGTAGGTATTAATAAATTAATAGCACAGTACGGTATTGAGTTTCCAACTATATCAACTGTATAATATCTTTCGATTATTCTTCTTATATCCTATTCCAATATACTTTGAATTTGAATTCTTCGTATAATATATTCGTATAAATAAGAAAAAGTAGTAATCAATCTACGATTAATTGGAATGATCACAACTATTATAACATTATAATTCGAATGTGCTTCGACATTCTCACGAGATCGAATAAAACACTTGTCTCTGCGATTAATCTTATTCGGAAATAGATTCATTCGAATCCAATGACCGTGGTGATATCGTTCAAACATCCCTTCCACTGGGTCAAAGGATGAATATTAAACGACTCTTGGACGTTTATAAATCCCAACCATACCCTTCTCGAAATCGTCACACTTAAGAAACTTACGATTATTCCGGGGGTTGGACGTTCGAAACTTTCGAATCCTCGAACCCTCCCCCTCTCGTGTCGCCCGATTAATGGTTCAAAGGGTCAGGGGTCGGGCACCGATTAGACGTGATTTTCGCCTCCCCCCCTCCCTCCTCCCCCGTGCATTCGTTAGTCGTGGCCCAGAGCTCGATTTCCGGTGAAGGGTGGGGAGGGGGAAGGCGGCCATCCGCCATTAGACGCACATCCGATAAGGGGAGCTAACGATTTCTGGTGGCGGTGGTGGAAAATTAAACGGAAGGACGGGCGGGAAAAACGATAAGTCGACGACACGTCGAACTTGTCACGTTCCTATCTTATCGGGGGATGTCTCGCCCGAGGATTCCGTAAGAAGGGTGACGTTCAACGTGACTCTCTCGGTCTATACGTTATATCGGGGTTTTAAAAATTATCTTAACCCTTTAAGAGGTTATGTCGTATATCAAGTACAGAGTTATTAATAAATTGTGCTTGCCAAAAAGTATTGTAATGAAAATATTGTATCATCGAATATTGAATATGAAGATATCGGGGAGGATTCGACGAAAGGAAGCTTAATTTTATTTTGAAAAATGATCTTAGTTCGAGCCAGTAAATCCTTGATATGTTAATAGAGTTATTAATAATTGTGTGTATTTATAATTAAAATATCATGAATATTAAATGTAAAGAGTCTCGTCGAGGATTTAAGAAGTCTGACATTATTTTAAAATCTTAATTCGTTATACTTTTGAAAGATTACATATATTCGTCAATTCGTATATTGATAGGATTATTAGTAAATTGTGAACATTTGTAAAAGTATTATATTTATAAATATTAAATATACAGATGTTGTCGAGGATTTGACAAGCCTGATATTATTTTGAAGTGATCTTAATCCTTTCAGTTGTTTATATCGTATATATTAATGTAAATAAAAATCTACAGAAATATTAATAATGCAGAAATATCTGCAAATGAGAAAAAATATAAAATGTCTATTATTTTTATTTATTTATTAAAAAAAAAATGAAACGAATCTTTATTTAAAATCTATAGCATATGTATAAGTTTATTCATAAAAAAAAATTATTTTTCCATAATATAATATTTATTATAAATAGAATATATAAGGATTAGGAGAGAAAAATTTTAATCCTAACAATGTTAATCAAACTTTCAATTATATGAGTAAATTAATACTTTTAATTAACAAAAAAAAAAAAGAAAAATTCACGAATTTTTCCATAATTTAAATAATAATCCTTCTTCCCGATCGTTCGCCGAAATTACCCAAAAAAGAGTGTCGAATATTTCGAACAGCGGTCCGTTTACGAAGCACGTTGGGGAACGAGGGACAGGGTTAAATGGCCGAACGAGCCGAGAATCGTCCCTTTTCACTCCCTAACGAAGCTCCCCCCTCCCGGTCGCCGAAACCACGGCACTCGTTTTGCTCCATTTCGACTTCGTTAAACTTCCGTGGCGGGGTTGGATTCTCGATCGAGAGAGAGAGAGAGAGAGAGAGAGAGAGAGGCGCGAACAGTTTTCGAAGGGCCCCTCCCTCCACCCCTTTTTCCAGTCGAGCCAGAGACGGGGGGGGGGGGACAATCTTAATGGACCAACGAACGAACAGAGCAAATAACGAATAAGGGAAGTTTCACGGTTGACCGTCTTTGCAGGCAGTTGGCCAAAAATTCAACTATCTCGGTTGTGCAAAATTCCACGTGACGGTATGATGGTTCGAAATTTCAGGAGACGATGCAGGAAATTGTTAAGAGGTGGGGGGGGAGGGGGGATCTGGATGGTAATTTGGCGGATAGTTCGTGTCGTTTGCATCGTTTACGGCGTATATACAGCGTGTCCAGTTTTGAGCCATAAACGAGAATTTTAATTTAATTGCGGAGAAAATAATTGTGCAATTGTTAGGTGAATGGAATGTTGTTTCGAGAGAAATCGAAGCTCGAATTGTGGAATAAATAACGTTGAAATTTAATTTAGAGCTTTTTTATATCATATTTTTCGTCAAATACAAAAAAGAAAGAAAAGAAACAGTATTGAAATTTATCCGATTCTGATTAAAATTCTTTTCGTGTTTCACTGAATATAGATAGTAAATTGGAAGATCGAACTTATATACTCGTCTACTTATAGAGTAAAGGTGTTGAATTTTAATTTTATCGACCGTGGAAAATAAAGAAGGAACAGTCTCAAAATTCTGCCCTTTTTACATAATAGAGAAGACACAATGGGCGACACAGAATCCATTAAGAGAGGTTAAAATAAATATATATAGATATTTATAGATAAAAAAAAGAGAAATAACAACTTATTCTTAATTATTAACACTTTCTCACTCGATTCGAATAACGGTTCTCGATAGGATGAAATTGGACACCCGGTACGTACAGTCCGCCTAGGAAAGGCTGGATAACCGCGATTTATAAATGGCGGGGGCACAAAGGGAGTCATATCGATTTAACTTTCGAAAATTCCTCGCGATCGCGATCGACTCGACTCGTGTCGACCCCCGGCTGTCAGAGGAAGACCCGTCTCGTCGGTTACATCCGACCGAAATTGTTTTTATTTTGATGGACATTTTGCGCGAAAACGCTTCACCGTATCGCGTATCGCCGTTAAATCGAATTAACCTTCGATGCAAAACACACGTGTGGAGGTAAAATAAAAAAAAAAAAAAAAAAAAAATAGAGAGAAAAAAATAGAGAACAAGCTAGTATAGATGCTCTTTTAGATCCATCTCGCTCGCGTATGATCCCTGTATCGACACGTTTGACGCGGCGAAACACGGATTTCCAAGCTTCGTGAACAACTTCGTGAATGACTCCCATTCTATTATTCACTTTTATTCGCGATTATTCGTGCAGAAAATTTCGTAGAGGAAATACTTTTTTAAATACTTGTCTCAGAAACGAGGTCTTATTTACACCATTGAAATATTAAGGACGAAGACGGAGATAGAATTCGCAATTTTTATCATTATCACCTTCATTAATTGCAATTAATTAATTTTTTACATGAGGGTAAAGGGGGGAAAAAATTGTGAAGCACACGGTTTCAACGATTGATTCCTCGATGCCGTGTTATAAATTAATCGGTCGAATTAACCCCAAATGACCTCGAAACGCAGTCAATTATCGGGCAATGATCGACGAAATCGCGTTACCGTGAATGAATAGGAAACTTTGCCACCTGTTCACGCGTGGGCCTAATATCACTCGTTGCGTAATGCAATTTCGGGAAATTGTTCGCGTCCCAGCTTTGAGCTCGATGATTTGGGGAGGGGAGGGGATGCTATAACCCTCGATATTAAATTGGACGCCTGTTTTCGGGAAAGGAGAGGAAGAGTAAACTATACGCCGGTTGATGCCTTTTGTGTTAATTCCTTTGTGGAGTGTCGGCCGAAAGCAAATAATTCGGCATAATTCAAACTTAATTAAGTCAGGTTTAGGTTAGGTGGAACGAGTGGAGAAATCCATAGATTTGAATCGACGGGAAGGATATTATTTGATCGTTGTTTTAAAGGAACGAGTTTTAAAAAAAAAAAGTTTATGCATCAATTACTGTGCTATATATATATTTAATGTTATGTTTTAGAATCTCTATATTTATTGTTTTAGCTCTGCCAGTTATCTCAGAAAGTATCAAATTAGGGGAGAAAATCGCGTGGAAATCGAATGTTGATTAACTTTTGCAACGATATAATTAGGGGTATATAAATATCCTGAATGTTTTCAACTTTGACCTTTCTCCGTGAAACGAGCTGAATTTTTTTTCTTCTTTTTTTTTTTTTTTTTTTTTTTTTTTTCCACCCCAAACGATGCCTCTCGCGTGTTTGCATATAGTGGCGCAAAGTGCATCGAAATTGTTTTTTCATAGAACGTTGTGCCGGTTGGACGCGCTAGAAAATGCAGCTTTATATACCCCGTGCGACATAATTTCGGGCAGCTCAAAATTACTTTTGTTTTTCTTTTTTTTTTCTTTCCCCTCGTTTATCGATGTCAAGTATCGATAGATGCTCGATTTCGATACGAGCACTACTTGTTGTTCTCCAGTGAATACAATGTTCTTTAGATTTACGATACTCGATAGGATATCGTAGAAATCGTATAAAATCATAAAACAACGTGGCCTGGTGATTACTGGCGTTACAGATGGAACGATATATCATCCGGTGAATACAGTGTATATGGAGTGAAAAGTCGCGTGGAAACGAAGCGTGAAAAGCATTAATCAAAGAGGTTGAAAGCTTAGTTCAAAATGAATTGCGAAAAAGTCGGATAGCCGATAATGCAACCAAGTCTCTAAGTGCCGTTTTAACGACTTAACTTGACTTGGAACAACGACCTGTCACAAAGATTCTCAATCTTTTCGAAAAGATTCTATATTATTCTATATTAGCAAAATTATTTATACATAATAGGATCTATTTTTCCCTCCCCCTTAGAATCGAAGATAAAATTAAATTTCTCAGATCAATCTTGAACAATATCGATTTTCCATATTCTCGTGCAATATCGAAAATTCGTTATATAAAAATCTAAAACTAGCGATAAAGGGAGGCCACGACAACGTTTCCTTCGTTCAAAAAGAAGTCACCGATACTTGATTGATCGAAATGAAGCCATTCAAAGAGAGAAGGACGATCATGACCACCATGAGGATGTCGAGGATCCGAGAAACGACAGGAAGCGCATCGAGAAACGAGATTTCCGCGTGGAAAATGATAGCCCACCCCCTTGGAAGGGGGCAAGCTTTGCAAGGTTAGCAAAGAAGGAGCCCATCGATGCCAAAGAAACCAACAATTATCGGTCCAGATATGGCTGAAGACTCTGGATCCTCGAGAGAGGTCAGAGAGGTAAAGAGGTCTGTGTTATCGACTGATCTTCCTGGATGGACACCTTCCTGCTCGATCTTTAACCAGGAAGGCTTTGGAACGGCAGCTCCAGGATCTCAGAGGCGCGTATCTAAATCACATCTCGCGGAAAAGTCGGCTTTTCCCTCTCTCTTTCTCTCCAGCGCTACTCTTTCTCTCCGTCTTATCATTCTTCGTTCCTTCCTCTGAGGTAGGAAGCCGGCAAAGCTTTTTTGATTCCTGATCCGAGGACACCGTGAGCAATTTGCGAGGATTCCAGGGGAAAAAGCTCGTTCACCCGGTCCAGATTCCAGAGCATACGTTGGAAGCCTCGTTTCATCGAGTTTCCGCGTCGAATTTCATCTTGGATGATAGAGGCAGAGAGATGGAGAAGGGAATTTTGTTACCTTTTCCGTATCTATTGATCCATGCAGTTTCGTAACAACGAGGCATTGAACACGAGGTTAAAACCTTTTCCTGACTGACAGACATTGTTTGCAGACTGTACCAGTATCCGTATCATCTTGAAGTTGGATAGGGATGGAGAAGCGTCTATTGGCCCGTCTAGTTTCGTAAGAAATAAGCCTTGAATGGGGTTAAGGTCTACTAATATTGGCAGGCATTATCCAGCAACTATCCTTCTATAAGATGAAGACAAAAAAAATAGATATTGTTAAATTGTCTGCAGACCATTTATCATTTTGAAAATAGATAGAGAAGCTTCTATTGCCTCATATAACTTTATAAGAATAAATCCTTGAATGAGGTTGCAGATCAACGAAGATAGAGAGATCTTGAAGATAGAATCAGAAATAGAGAAGTCTCTATTGGCTCTTGTAACTTCGTAAGAATAAAATCTTGAATGGGGTTAAGGCCTATTTACATTAGCAGCTATCATATCCAGCAATTATGCTTTTATAAGATGAAGACAAGAAAGAAAGATGTTGTTAATTCTACTGTTTTTTCGTATTTGTGTACAGTATAGTATAACCAGAATAAAACTCTGAACGAAGTTAAGGTTTATTTGCACTAACAAACATCGTTGTTGTAGACTGTCTATCATCTTGAAGATGGAATCAGAGATAGAGAAACCTTTATTGGCCCATATAGCTTCGTAAAATAAAGCCTTGAATGGGGTTAATGCCTATTTACATTGGCAGGCATTATCTAGCAACTATCCTTCTATAAGATGAAAACAAAAAAAATAGATATTGTTAAATTGTCTGCAGACCATTTATCATTTTGAAAATAGAATCAGAGATAGAGAAACCTCTATTGCCCCATATAGCTTTGTAAGAATAAATGCTTGAATAGGGTTAAGGTCTATTTACATTGGCAGGCATTATCCTTTGTCCAACAATTGTCCTTTGTACAGTGTCTATAAAATGAAGACAAAAAAGATAGATGTTGTTAATTCTGCTACTTTCTTCATGTATAGTATAGTATAACCAGAATAAAGCATTGAATTGTCTGCAGACCTTCTACCATCTTGAAGATAGAATTAGAGATAGAGAAGCCTCTATTGGCCCATATAGCTAGTAAGAATAAAGCATTGAATGAGGTTAAGGTCTATTTGTATTAACACAGATTGTAGACTGTCTGCATATACTGTCTTCATTATCGTGTTTATCGATATAATTCATCATAGTGAAGCCTTGAATGAAGTTAAGATCAATCTTATATCAAGATAAACAATCCATTCTCCACTTTTTGGAAAAATTCTTTATTTTAACGTCAAAGTATACATCTGATGTTTAATAATATTATAAATAATTAGACTTGATTAATTTGGTTTTTTGTATAAATATATAACATATTTTCCAGATATTATATCAATTATACTTATTTTATCTAATAATCTCAAATGAAAAATTGAATTGACAAATACTTTAAAATGAGCCAGATCTAATTTCTGTTAAAGTAACGAGAGTAGATCAGTCGGAGCATTTATTTAAATTTTACAAAAAGAAATATAAATAACAGAATTATAATGGTGTTTCAGAAAATTATTCCACTAATACAATATCGTTTTGTCATAGTAACCAACTGCTTCGGATGGAAAGCTTTCTATTTCGTTTATTTTTTTTTTTTTTGTTCCCGGTTATAACTTTTCGTTGTTCAACCGAGTTTTCAATCAGAGTTTACCTATGTTTTGTGTCTTCCATGGAATCGAAACTCGTCCCATGCCACTATTAACGCCCTACAAGTCAAACAATATGCTTCGAACAATATGTTATACAGATGTACACCGGATTATGTGTCGGTTGAAACGAAACTTTTATCTGCGAACATCTGATGAAACTATAAAAAAAAAAAAAGAAAAAAAAAAGAAAAAAAGAAAATCGAAAACAAGGAAATATCTCACGAATCTCCACCAATCCAAGCAATGACAAACACGTTTCATCTTACCAAATCGAACTTCATTTTCGAATCGATTCGATCGTTGTCAACAACAAAGAATCTTTTCCCATACACTCGATCAAAACAACCGTGATCGCCACTCTGCGTGGAAAGCAGTTACGCGTATGATCGTTTCGTTAGTGAAGCATCGTCATCCCGAACCAGGAATTAACGAAAAAAAAAAAAAAAAAAAAANAAAAAAAAAAAAAAAAAAAAAAAAAGAGGAAGTGGCTAGAAAATCGTGTCAAACGAATTTTCCAATAAATGTAACTGGTGTTCAATTTGGCGCTATGCGTCATGCTACAAAGGACCAGAACTGTAGGGATGTATCCTGTCGAAACAGGATAACCTGAAACTCTCCACCGATCGAGATTAGCCTAGTCGATTGTACGACGAAACTGGTTTTGTTGAAAAATAATTTTTATCCGGGATACGTGACTAGTGGCAGTTACTGGATTCCCTTAAAAGGCATTTTTAATTAGGTGGTCGTATATTCTGGAATAATTCTTTGTCTATTTTTTTTTTTTCAAACAAAAGCCATCTCTAAACAGAAAGTAGATGACACTTGATACTCGATAAAGTTGGACGAGTATCAAAGAGTGGAACTCTGGAATTGAAATTTGATTGGGTTAACTAAAGTTGTCTTTTTCTACGTTTCAATGTAAGTAAATGAAAGAGAAGCAGAGCTGAAAATTTGAACAAAGGATATCAATGAGTTTCATAATTCGTCAAAAACAATTCTCTATGTATTAGATGATTATATTTGATATATTGTTTCTTAACTTTACTAGAAAGAGAATAATATTCTCTAATTAAAGTATTTGAGTATCATGTATCAAGCATGATGTGAGGAGATAAAATCATTCAAATATAAAATAATAATGTATTGAGTCAATGCACTTTTACTTTTTCTTTCCAGTCACAAATGGATCACAAATAAAGATTCTGTCATACGCACCCCTACAATCTCAATTTTAATATATAACACTTTCCAATTATCAGTCGTTTTAAAAAGAAAAAAACTCTTTTTCTCGAACGAAAAACAATTTTTAAAAACAGAAGCCTGAAGCACGAACGATAAATTATCCGACGAGGCGGACAAACTCGCGTTAAATGTCATCGACTTTTGTTATAAAAATAGTTGTTTATGTCCGTTTCAGTCGAGGAGTTGGAGTGTCTGGCCACCTGGAAGGAGGGTAGCAGCCGCTACCTGGTCGGCCGTTTGCATCACGGACACGCGTCCAGTAACGAAGATCGATACCGATGCTTCGTCTACGAGAAGGCCGGGCAGACAGTGCAGAGCAATCTGCACAGAGCTGCCATGGGCATAGGAGCCATGGATCACGATGTCGGTTTGCAGAGTGGACCGGTGCCCGAGGGCGCGGCCGAGATATACCGGGTGGCGCAGAGCGGAGACGCCACTTGCAACGGATTGTTCAGCCCGATGGAAGGGTCTCGGACCATGACGCTCATGAAAGGTGCGTGCAATTGTTTTTATCTCGGGAAATCGATGTGTGTCAATTAAAATTTTGCTCGAATATACAATGTTTACCGATTAGAGTGTTTTACTTATATAATAATTGATTTAATTTTCATTTTTGTTTTCATTATTAATTAGTGAAGTCTTTTTTATAAATTCTTTCTAATAGTAACGCAAAAGAATTTTATTGTATACTCGTATGTTATGTCATATGTTAACTGTCTTAACAGAGAAACATAACGTAAACACTCACTGGATGAAGATTCTAAATCTTTATCATAAGTCTCTTTAGATCATCATATTTTTATGATACCCAATTGACTTTGTAATAAACGAAATATTTAAAGAAAATGTATTCAAATCTAGGAATAAATTTGCAAAGAAGAATATATTCACGTGTGAGAAAAACAAATGTGTTTGAGATATTCAACTGTCTGGTATTATATATCAAAATGGCGGCCCATAACGCGAAGCAGAAATATTTGCTGCTCCTCTTCCTTCTATCTACCGCATTTTCCCTTTCTTCTTTAATTTTTCTTTTTTCTTCCTGCACTTTCTTCCCCCGAAGTTTGCTAGCCCGTATCTTACCGCGTACAGTTTCATGGCAAACTTCGTTAACGGATTTCACTTCGGTAGATTTGCAGGATCTCGCGCTTTAAGCGGCGCCCCGCAGTCTCGTCGCGCCACTTTCTTTACAGAATCGTTTTAAATCGAGAGAGAGAGAGAGAGAGAGAGAGAGAGTCGTCTGAACGCGATGAAGTGAAAAAGAGGAGGTAGAGGGCGACACTAGTAACAAGATCAACCGTATCCTAGTCATTAATCGAAGAGATGTCGGTTATTTGTTGCAACAATGACGTAATTCAAAATATTTATCAAGTTTGTTGGTTGAAAAAATCAATTATTATTTTTTACTGCAATACTCGAGATAACTCAAAATTTATATTTATCGAATTATTTTTAAAACCAATTTTGTAACAATTTGATAGTTTTGAATAGGTTTTTATAACAATCTCGAAATATTTAAAATCTTAATAGTTTTGCAACAAATGATTAATATGTAGGAACATTGATAAATTGAAATCTGAAGATAAATTTGAATAGTTTTATGAATAGTTTTATAAATGAAACGAAATAAGATTAAACATTAATCGAATAGGTTAATTTTATAGACATTTTTCTTTACAAATTAATTTTCATGATTATTTTTAAAAATCTCGTAATTGTTATATATAATTTAATACATAAATGAGTATATCTATCTCATAAAATGATATTATTTTTAAATAGTTGAAGTGGAAAAATTCAAATATAATTATAGAAATTCTGTAATAAAAGTAACAATCAAACTTGATTATATTATTAAACAAAGAGATTATACATCAACCGAGTATTCACGATTCTTAACACTATAATGGACGCGAAACTAGCGCCACGTGGCTATTAACTAGTACTAAATATTCTCGTATTTTTTTATTTATTTATTTATTTATTTATGTTAAATTATTCATTATCTCAAGAAGCACAAAAAGAAAATATATTTTATTAATTTTTGACGTGAAATTTGCGTTTTAAACTAATCAATCATAAGACAATTTGTGACTTTTTCATATTTTAAAAATAAAAAATATAACTGAATTTTTTAAATTTACACACTCTGTTGCATGAATATTTCCTTAAATAATTATGTGATAGTGACGAGACACTAGCGCCACGTGGCTATTAACTACTAGTACCAAATATTCTCGTGTTTTTTATTTATTTATTTATTTATTTATCCATGTTGAATTATTTATCTCAACAAACACAAAAAGAAAATGTACTTTATTAATTCTTGACATGAAATTTGAGTTTCAAACTAACAAATCATTTTAAAAATAAAAAATATAACTATATTTTTCTAAATTTACACATTCTTGCATGAATATTCCCTTAAATAATTACGTAATAGTGACGAGACACTAGCGCCACGTGACTAACTACTAGTATCAAATATTCTCGTATTTTTTATTTATTTATTTATTTATCCATGTTAAATTACTCATTATTTCAATAAATACAAAAGGAAATATATTTTATTAATTTTTGACGTGAAATTTGCGTTTTAAATTAACCAATCATAAGACAATTTGTGACTTTTATATTTTTTTTTATATTTTAAAAGTAAAAAATATAACTGAATTTTCTAAATTTACACTCTATTGCATGAATATTTCCTTAAATAATTATGTGATAGTGACGAGACACTAGCGCCACATGGCTATTAACTATTAGTACCAAATATTCTCGTGTTTTTTATTTATTTATTTATTTATTTATCCATGTTGAATTATTTATCTCAACAAACACAAAAAGAAAATGTACTTTATTAATTCTTGACATGAAATTTGAGTTTCAAACTAACAAATCATTTTAAAAGTAAAAAATATAACTATATTTTTCTAAATTTACACACTCTTGCATGAATATTCCCTTAAATAATTACGTGATAGTGACGAGACACTAGCGCCACGTGACTATTAACTACTAACTGCATATTTATTCATTCATTTTTCGAATCATCTATTATTATATTCCTTCCACATATTTCTTATTTCTCAAAATATTCAACAATTATATTACATTTTCCTACAAACGTGACAAAAACAAAATTTTATCAATTCCCGACGTATCATGCTTCTGTGAATCCCGAGTCGTTACAGTGTTAATGTCTCGATCCTCGTGGGTCTCGAGGAACGAAAAGAGAGCAACGGGAAGAGAAGGTCGAGAACTCGAGCCCCGGAAAATGGATTAACATTAAATCTTTTTCCCTTCGCTTTTCCCTCCAGCCACGTCTCATTCCTTCCACCACCTTCCTCCTCCTCCTCCTCCTCCTCTTCTTCCCACGATCCACGCCGTCGAGTACCTTTAACTGCACCCACAGGCCGACTCGAAAGTTTGTTCAATTAGCCTGGACTCTTCCACAGCCAGAGTCAATACCCCGGGAAAATTACTCGACTGCGTTTTCATAACTGCTCGAAACGTGCGGTTTAACGGGCAGAAAGGGAGCTCGACACAGGGGTGGAGGATGTCTTGGGGTAAGGAGTGCCTCAACCAGGCAACCCCTCTCCTCGAATAGGCAATTACGGGCGGTGAACCTTCTCGTTAATCGAACGAACGTGCTCCGAAATTTCCGCCTGTAAGCCACGCTCGATAATATTTGGCGAGTATATCTACTATGGATAAATAAAATCAATCGATTGGCTGGTCGAGATGTTCCTTCGATCGAAAGATGTGTCTTGAGATTTGAGTTAAGTTTTTCTTTTATAAATTAATAAATTTTTTAAATCGAAAGGAAATTTTTATTCGATCTAAATTGAGATTAAATGATTATAAAGTAGATGAAAAAAGTATGTCTCTTTCATTCAATCATTTTTTTTTTTTTTATTTTTATTTTAATCGATGATCTAAAAAAGTAAATCAATAAAAAGCGAGGAATAGCACGATATAATCAATGATCTTAATATTTATTTATACCTTTGATGTTAAATGAAATTAAACGAGCCTCAAAACATCATCTTGGAAACTTTTAACCCGACGATTAACAGCGGAAAGATTTCTCCTCGCAGAAACACAATTACCGATTTCGTTAAAAGTTCCAAGTAACTGAATTTAAGTCGTCCGCCCGACTGTGAACGTTCGTCGACGTTCCTCGAGCTTCATTATTGACGAGAAACTTCGAGCTTGAATATTAGAAATCAATCGCAACGAGAACCATCCGAGAATCCTCCTTCTCCTTTTTCCCCCATCGCTCGCAGTTTCAACTTTCCGCCAGATTTTTATCGATATCGTTAAAATGCAGATTGGCAATACACGAAGGAGAAAATAACCGAGGGCACAATTTGGAAAATGCGTGCGTATACGCTCTAAAATGGTTCACTTTATATTCTGGAAATTCGAAACTGGAAAAGAATTAAAAAGTATCGAAGAAAATCGGTTAATGTGATACGTTTAGAGTATATATAGGGTGACTCTTTAATATTTATAAAAAATTTCTTTATATATTGATATATTTGAAAATTCTAGATGCCAAAATAAATAAAAGAATTGAATTTCAGGCTTATTATTATTATACAATTCTCTATTACTAAAATATTCTATATCAATATACTGTATAATATATAAACAACCAACCAAATAAAACCTATAAATTTAATTATAAAATATAAAATAAAATTAAATAAAATTATAAAAATTATACTTAATTAATTATTAATAATTTTATTTAATTATTTAATTTTAATTAATTATTAATAAATTAAACTAATTTAATTGTAAATTAAATAAATAATAATTTTATTATTTTTATATTAAATATATATATATATTTTAAATAAAGCTTCTAACTTTATATAAGATTAAAAAAAATCTATATTTCTTTAATATATTTTTAATTTATTTATTTTTATTATTTATATAGTTTAAAAGAACATTATATTTTCAATATAAAATTAATTTTATAAATTTATAAATTTATATAATAAGCTAATTAAAGCTAATAGGTTCATATCCTATCGATAAATTAAAAATTTTTATGTAATAAAATTTAATTATTAAAATTTATTTATTTATTTTATTTTAGTGTGTTTAAGCACATAAAATTTTGAATTTTATAAAATTAATTAAATTAGTAAATTGGATATTAGTTAAAATCATAACATTTAAATATTATTATATCTAATTTATATTATTTAAATTTAATCTAAAAGTAATATGTCTGATAAAAGAAATATTTTGATAAAATATATATATATATAATTTTAAAAATATACTATTACTTAATAATAAATATTTATTAAATAAGATAATAAGAGTATAATATGTAGAGATCTTAAAATATCAAAAAATTGGTCCAAAATCTAATAATTAACGAATTATCATTAAATGTTTGTTCTTGTTTCGATTCATAAAATCGCAGAATTGAGAGTGGAATGTAACCATGATAACGCTTATGATTTAAATTGCACGAACAAGCAATGAAATTTTATTAACGAGAGAGAATGTTTTACGATTTTTGTGCTGGAATGTACGTGCGAAATCGAGGAGGAACAGAGAGAGAGAGAGAGAGATAGGGTTGATACCACGAAAAGATAAAAGGGACGACAACGAGTAAAACAAGGGAAATGCCATACGATTTTTACGATCACGGAATTTGTATCTCGTCCATGTCCCGTGGACTTATCGATGGGGAAGGTTGAATTATTTCCATTCTTTTCCAAGGCCGGGCAACAATGCTTTTACGTGCCATAAAAATGGCCGAAACGTACACTGTGTCAATCTTCTATCTATTTTTCCTCTTTCTCTCTTCGAATTTTCCCTTCCCTACCTTCATAGCATTCAGACGTGAGTGTATTGTTCGAAATATATTTTTCGAAATAACCGTGTTATTTATTTCATCAGTTATATTTGTTTATTATCGTATTATTATTTTGACGTTTATATTCCTTTCGCCTAATTAATAAACGATAAAATAAATATTGTTCGAAATTCCATATTGTTTCGAGTGAATTTAATATTCATAGAATAGTAGTGGAAATAAATTTTTTTCAAATAATCATAAATTATCGCTATCTATATAATAAATAAAGAGAAACGAAAGGAGAGAGGTATTAAAAATTTTCATACGATTATTATGTAATCCAAAAAGATGAAATATAGACTCTAATAAAAAGACATCATATGCAATAATATTTATCCCATTATTAGAAATTAATCAACACATTCATGTTGTACAAATTTCTATAACAAAATATTAAATACAACTGTATATCAAAATATTTCGAAAACCTATCAATTTCATCTCCAATTCTTTACAATATCACGTCTTTTCTTCGAGTGTCCCCCCCCTTCATTCTCTTCCCTCCATTTCTCCTCCACTTTTTACATCACGTCTTTTATCCTCACGTCGTTACAACCTGGCTATTCTCCACTTCTCCCCTCTTTGTCTCATCCTATCTCCCTTCTTCTTTCTCATCTACCCATCAGCCTATAGCGCGCTCCCTCTCCCTCCCTTTTCACAGATGCTCGCTCCCTCTTTGTTATCCATTTTCCTCCGTCAACCCTTTTCCATCCCGACACTATCGAGGCGGGAGGGCTCCTTCTCACCAGGAAGGGAGGATTTTGCACACTCCTCTTCCACCTCCTCCCTCAAGCGGAAGTGGAACACGTTGAAGAGGTGGTGGTGGTGGAGGGGGAGTACACTCGAACGATTCTGTTTCGCTATCGAATACCTACGTCCACGTTTTATCGGCTGTCGTTTTTCGTAACGTCGAGGACTTTATGGTCCGGCGCGGGTTGACTGCGAAATTTTTCGGAGATCGTCTCTTTTATACCATACTCCTGATCTCTTCTTTCCTTTGCAGTCCTGTAGATCTGAAAACCATTCGAAACGTGGTCGAAATTGTTTAAAAGTTGTTCGTTAAAATTATGAGAAGGGAATTGATAAAATAAGAAGATAAAAAGGATTGAAAATTGTTTAAGAAGTGAATGGAAACGCGTTAAATGATGAGGATAATTATGTATATATTTGGAGGCAAGTATAATAATATGTTTGAAAAATGTAAAAATTTTTTTTTTTCGTTCTTTTGTCGTTATTATACAAGTCGAACAATTTTATTCATTTTCTCGCCATTCATTTAAAGACAGAGACACAGTGTGGCGCTGGTGTCGACAAATTTAAGTTTGTTTGGAAGTCACGTGGCGCTAGTATCGCATCACTCGTAGTTTCGCTATTCTCTGTGAATAATTTGAAATAATTTTTAAGTTTAATAATTATTCTTATAATATATATACATATTCGTTTCCACGAAGACTACATCTCTCTTTTCTTCTTTCTCCTCGAACTTAAATCTTGTTTAATAAACACTGTTGAATATACGTGTACTCCACTTAACAAGATAAAAATAAAAATTCCTATTTTTCCGTTTAAATTAAATTAATCCAAAATAAGTGCAAGATTAAAAATTAATCAAAAATACACGAAAATGTCGAATGGATATTTATATATTATCCATGGCCATTAAATTCAGACGATCTCAATCGGATCGATAGGAAGATGTAAATGCTCGGGATCAGGATAGAATCAGGATTCGTTTAAAGAATATACCGGGCGCGTCTTGAATATTATCACGATAATTCCGCTTCTTACCTCCCCGAGGCTCTTAGATTCCATCTACCTGCGACGATCGAGCTCGATCAAATGGAATTAAAGCAACGATTCGAAGGTCGAGTCGATTACCCAATGTCCGCCCGTCCCATTCTCAAATATTCCATCGGCACCGGCTGAAACGAACCGTTTAAGTGACACGGATAAAAAAACGTAAGAGAGAGAGAGAGAGAGAGAGAGAGAGAGAGAAGGAAAAGCGAACGAACAATCAGAGAGGTTGAATAATCAGAAATCGCGAAGCCCTCTTATTCTAAATACGTTTTAAAAACGAAGGAGCAGCTCTGTCCAATTCGATCAGTGGAGGCAGACTGAAATAGGATGGAAAGGTGATTAGTTTTGATAATGAAGAAATTTCGTCTTCTATCGCAAATAAAGGGCAGGTTAATATTTGACTTTGATCAAGAGATTCGTTCGATAATTTTTATTATAAAATTATTATTGTAAGTTTGTTTTTGTTGAATGATTTAAACATATTGAACATATTATAAAAATATTTATAAAATTGTTATATAAAATAAAATAATATGGCATTGGACATTCTATAAATAAAATCATTTTGAAAATCTTATATTAAGTTAAATATTAAATATAATTATCAATAAATTGTAATCAAAAATTAATAATATTTTAATCAAAAAACTTCTTTAATATTAATATTTGTATGATTTGTATTTTCAAATATTTGTTATTATTATTTATTATTTGTAAAAGTAACTAGAAGATTTTATAATGAATCATTTTACATGTTCAAGTAATAATAAAAAATCTTCTTTGCTAAGTCAATTTATTAATTTTTTATATTATCCATTCCTTCTAAATTAAATCTTATATTTAATATTAACTAAAAATTGTCAATTTGAAATTGGCTTTCTAATTTGAATAAAAACCACATCAAACTTTTTGCCAACTCAATAGATAATTAAAATGATCAAAATTAGAGGAGTCCAGGAAATTTTCTCCATTATTAGAAAATAATCTATACAAAAAATTAAAATTACAATAAACTAAATACTAAATAATTAGAACCGAGTTTCTTGCACAAACAGAATTAAGTAAATCGAATTCTCTGCTTACTTACAGTGTCGCCACCTGGCCAGTGCCGATTCCCTAATTGGTTGACCGGCCATTCCAGCGGTGGACTGACATGGCACACCCTCGACCTCACCAGATCTTACACGTTCCATCCTCGGAACGCTTCCCTGCACGTGACCAGTTTGAACACCAGTTCCTCGAGATTCGAAAGCGGTTCTCTGGACGGCCAATACGTTCCTGGACAAGAGGATCAAGATGTGAAGATCCTGTGCAACAGCATCAAGCAATCTAGCGTTGCTCAAGCGATGACGATGACCACGTTGGTCGCCCATTTCACGGTTGGCTGGTGAGTAAATTGTTTTTCTATTTGTTTTCGTAACAATTCGTAGAAAAACTAATTAATTAACACATTTAATTTTCTCTTTTGCGTGCCATTCTTAAATATATCTAAATAATGTGTATATATATATGAACATCATTATATAATTAAAAGATTCAATTTAACCAAATTCTTGGAATTTCCTTTTTACAATTATAACCAACAAAGATCATAAAAAAAAATATATATCGATTAACGTGTCGAAAGAATAACAACGCTTACGTACATCCTTGCGTGTTTGTTTTTCGTTTGTCCAAGCCGATTGAAAAAAAAAAAAAAAAAGATAGCAAGTTTTCGCTCTTTTTTCTCTCTCTCTGTTTTTCCTTTTTTTCAAAAAAAAAAAAAGCAAACACAGTGCACAGAATCGGTGCAACCGAGGGGAAAAAAGAAAAAGGGGGGGGGGGCAAAGAGCTTTTGATAATACACGTGTTTTGAGAACATCGGGTTGAGCCGGACGCGCGCTACAATCGCGGTACATTGTCAGAGTAAACAGGATTGTTATTGTTCGCGTTGGTGGAACGTTTTACGTTTTAAGCGAAGGAACGCGTGGTTTTTATTCGACCTGTCTTCTTGCCCGCAGCCGGAGCGGTTTCATGTGCATGACGTTCTATCGAAGGGACGGCCACGTGATAGAGGTGCAGACCGGAAGCGACGTCTCGAGGCCGGAAGAGGCTTGCAGCTCGCCCCATTTCCAACAGCACAACATACCCTTTCTCACCTTAGTCAGTAAGTAGGAAAAAATATTTTTTCTAGTCTGATACGAATTTTATTGTTATTAACAAATTTGCCATGGTTTCTTTTTTCATTATATATATGTATGTATGTATATGAACAAATTTTCCATGGGTTTTTTTTCATTATACATATATATATATATGATGAATGAAAAGAATTATATTTGATTGTAATTGTGTATGATCAAATGTGTAACAGTGAATGTTAATAATAATGTGTTAGGTTATGAAGCTTGATTAGATTAATTGGATTGTAGAATAGGTTAGAATAGGTGTGATTAAATGTAATTGTGTAACATTGAATGTAATAATAGATTATTTAGCTTGATTAGGTTAATTAGATTATAGAATGGGTTGACGAAAAAAATAATTGGATTGGATGATGCATCAATGGTTAGATTACTATGAATTGGTTAAAGAAAAAGACAGAGAAGTTTTGATTGAAGGAAATGTAATCAAGCTGTTAGATTCGTATTAATGCAAGAATTGTTGACACGTTAAATGGTTCTATTAGTTCTATAGAATCATACCTTTCAAATATTATCATTCTACATTTTCAATTTACTTTTTGTTCGAAGAATCATATTTTTCAACTTGTATCATGATTTTCGATATAATCTGTATACAACAAGGCGAAGTTATTTAGATTTCATACAAATTGGAAAGCTAATTCTATCCCTTTGCTGGTAAAAGGGGGAAACATTCTCGTTCTAAATCGTTGAAAAATTACAGGAATATCGGTGAAAGCTCTCGCTACAGTCTCGTTTTCCAAATATGCTGCCTTCAATCCGAGCAACACCAGAAACCTTTTTCCCTTTTTATAAGCAGGTTTCTTGATTATTCTCTATTTTCTTCGTTTCTATTCCACGAATCTAATCAAATTCGAGGATCACGCAAATCGAACATAACCTATTCTTTCGATAAAACTTTCGCCTCTCTTGGTTGAGAATCGTAATTATTTGAAATATATATTTGATATTATTAACCAGATCCTACAAGTCATAAATTATACTTTAATAATCGATTAGTTTTTACTAAATAAATTTTAGAAAGAAGAAATGTTAACTTTTTATTACTTTTATATTTAAAAAAATAAATTTTTTATAAATCATATTACACATAGTTCGACGAATATTGTCGAATAATTTATATAAAATATGTACAATAATAAAGCGAGATAAAGATAGATAGCTTTCTCACAATATAATCTCTCTGTCTCACTTCATCATGCACAACTTCAATTGCTTATAACTTAATAATATCAATTCATATTTCTTTTCATCTACAGAATCGTTCTAAAAAAAATATTAAACACTTTGTACATTTACATGTGCATGTTACATTGCAACAAAATATAAATAAATTTTCACTATATTTTTACTCGAAAATATCCGTTTCCAAACTTTTGGACGATACTGTACATATGCATGTAGGACAGCAAGGTGACAGCATACCATAGTCGGTGTGTGGGTGGATATGTTATGCAACGGGTGGTAAACGAATCTTCCTGGAGAAATTGAATTTTGTAGGGAGTTGGTGAAGCGCGTCACGAAAATCGTTGAAACCACACAAATATTTTGTTTCATCGTTCCGACGATGGCTGCGGTTTGGTTTGGTGACTCTGTTTGCCGATCACCTCTTTCTTCCTTTATTTTTTTGCTCCTGCATTTGTTGCCTTGTCCCGAGGTCGCGAGCTTTATCATCCTTCCTTCTTTTTTTATTTTTATTTATTTATTTATTTTTTTTTTTCATCACGAATCGTCACGGTTTCGCCCTTTGATTCTCAAATTGTCGCCCTTCGATTGCCGATAGCGATTTATCGGTCTTGTTTTTTTTTTCTTTTTTATAAAAACGTGTCGGCGTCTTCGTTTTGATCGATCATTGCGACATCTGGAGGAATTTTTCGGTATCACGAGAACCTGTGCTTTGTGCGCAAATTGTGCAACATTGAATTTTGTTTATAAAAATTTATAAAAGTGCACAAGACATTATTTATTATTGTTAATTATCGATGATAAAAAATTGTGAGTTTTAATCGCGTGTAATTTTTTTCGACAACAGATTTACACATATAGTATTTTTGTACTTGAAGTTAAATTTATTCTACGATTATTCTTAACGAATTTTGTTAATTTCTGAAGAATTGTGATAAACTGTCCTAACAATAAGATATATAGTCCTATAATTTAAATAAATAAATACTTGATATAGAAAGTATCAAAAAAAGGATTGATAAATTTTTCTATTATTAGGACGGATAAGGAAATTATATATTATAATATCCTATTAAAGATAAAATTACATATCCCATTCTGAAAATTGGACTCTATAGTCTTCATTATTAATACCGTTTATCCAGGATTAATTATTCATTTTCGATTATAAATTCATTTATTATTAACATTCATAAATCCACTTACATCATTAGGTAAAACAACCTAATCAATATTGCAAAATCAATTTTTCAATTTTTCAATAAATTATCCACTTTTGTCACAAGATTAACCAAATTTAGCCAAATTAATTTCAAATTCTGAAAAAAGAAAAAAAATACACCATTATGAAATGATCCATTTATCGTCGTTAATTTATTAAATTCGCACACTTTGTAAATTATATATCGGGAAGCAAATTAATTTAGCAACGCATTGCTCCGGAGGAAAAAAAAAAATGGAGAGCGAAAAATTCCGCGAAATCGAAGCCGGCCAGGCTGGAATAAGGCGAGGATATATGGTGGTAAAGCGAACGAATACTGGATCAAACCGAATCCAATAACTCCCGTGGGATTACAAACCCGATCCTCGAGGACCGAGCATCCCCCAAAGATGTGTAAGTTGCGGCAAAGAGGCGAAAAGAGAAGGATGGAGGTGTTGGGAAGCCAACTCGACGAGGTAGATCTCGTCGAAGGGTTAGGATATTTCGTTGTGTCCAACCAGATCGCAGCCAGCATTCGTGCCAGGTATACCGGGTGACCGATCTGGTTTTGATCTGGTATATATACATTTCATCGAATTTTATTTAATTGGAATGAAATCTTTGTTGAGTTTCTATTGCTCAAATATTTGGCTAATATTGTTGGTTAAATATTACAATGATTGGTTTATAGATTGGTTTAAATAGAGGGTGTTTAAATTGGATAAAAGTATATTTATCTAAAGTTTTTGCAATGAAATATTTTGTTGCTTGACTCTAACGAATTGCTATTGCATGAATAAATTTTTAGTGAAATTTTACGTACGATTGGTCTATATAGAGTGTTCAGATAAATTAAATGAAGTTATATTTATTGACTTTTTTTAATGTTCGATTAAATGAACTCCAAGTTCTTATATCTGTGCTCTGTTGAGCATAAAGTTATCTTTACTAATTTCTGGAATTTCTGGAACTGGAATTTTCATATTATTTTCATATCTTTTTAGAAATATGTCCATTTCATTTCTATTCCTCTCTCGCTTTTTACAAGGAAATAAAGCGTATAAAATCTTTTTACCATTCTAACTAAACTATTGCAGATTGTACAAATATCAAGATAATCAATGTTATAAATTATAAAAAGATTATTATTCTGTAAATAGAATTAAATTCCTATCCCTATTAAATATTAAAGTTTGTTAATTTTTAGAATCACTTTATAAATGTTCCATTTATTTTTGAACACCCGGTATGAATGGAAAGCGAAGCAATAAAGTACGTGAGATATTTTCTTGAAAAATTTTGCAAGAATATTTCTCGGATAGGAGATGTAGATCTACGGGATACGGAACGTTTTGACATACACGTGAGAGAAGAAAGAATAGCAAACTGTGAAATTTATTAGAAAATATTTGGAATCTATCTGTATAACACTGCGAAATTTTCTAACCTTCGTTCCTCGTTCCAGTTTTCATTCGACCAGAATCGATCCATCGATTATGAGTGAGCATACTTTTAGGTTAAGTTATTTTCCAAGCCATACAGCAAATGACTGTAAAATTGAATAATAAAAAATACTTAGAACATCAATATTGTGAGAAACAATATTTTCTAATCTCCATTCAATATATTACTTGAATCAATCCATTGATTATATATGATGACTTTTAGGTTAGGTTAAATTCATCAAAATTTACGAATTATCGTCCTTTTGAATATATATATATAAATCGAATTTATAGAAATTCAGAAACTTATTCTCGCTCGAATCGACAACAAATTACGAGATTTATTACAAAAATATTCATTTATTAAAAGAAAAAGATTTATTACATAAATATTATTCTCGACAACAAATTACGAGATTTATTACAAAAATATTTGAAACACCTTGGAAAACAATATTCTAGGTTAGGTTTCTTTTGTAACGTAACAAAACAGAACATGCGTAACAAAAGTTAAACTTACATAGCAAAATTTACCAGTCACCGTGTATAACCTCTCGATGAGACTCTCGGCGAAGTCGAAATCGATAGAAATTCAGAGAGTTTGTGGGTTAGGATCGAAGTTCCGACACGGTTTTACACCGATGCCGGATTATAAAATTATAATCGTCTTCAAATTGACGAGGAACTTTCGTGGAGGGTTCGAATCGATCAACCGGAATCCAAGTTTCAACCGGGGAGGATCAAGAAGTTTCGCCGAGTAATTCGCGAGTTTCTGTCCAGAGATTCTCGAATCGGAGGGAAAAAAGAAGAGGAAGAAATTCGCTCACCACTAGCTATAGATTATTCGTTTCACAAGGAAAATGCTTTCACCCGGACCTGTAACCATAAGCTATACAATATCCGACGGTGCAATAAAGTGGACCATCCACCAGCCATCCATCTTTTTTTTTTTCTCCCTTAGTTTCCTCTCGCTTTCTTCCTCTTTTGCCTGCCCTCCCTTTCTTCTTGTGGATCCTTCTTTCCTCCTTTATGAGCAACCGAGGTATTCGAGGAAGAATTCGAGGAGATTCGTGAAAAAAGAGCCCATGTTAATTTATTTTCGAAGTGGTGGTTTAATGTATGCTTTATGAGA